GGGATGTTCTTCCGTTAGTATTCAAGATGTTAAAGCATACTATGTAAATTCCCGTACTTTGTAACAATCGTTATAGTATCAGATTCGAGTTAACATTAAACTTTTAACATTTTGTGATCGACCAAGTTCCTATTTACCTGGCATTGAAATCCCCATGAATATCCAAACATTTTCAATTCCAAATGTACACCTGTCCAATATTCTATTCGTTGTTTATTTCCAAAAAAAAAAAAAATGTAGTCCAATCTTGAAAACATTTCCCATCACTTTCTACGCATTTACCCTATTTCTGAGCCAGTTGGCGAATCCCCTCTCGAGAAAGTGATAGCGGTCTTGAGTCAATAATTAATTGTGGGTGCCATGAATTAATTTGTACACCTAATATTTCGTGTTTCACAGAAAATAATGAATTACTTATTGGTATACACCTAACATAAGTTCTCCAGCTTCGATTACGTCCGCCATTTAGGTAGCTACCTGTTCTCCCCTGGTTCGCACAATCCAGAAACGTTTCCGTTTGGCCAGACGATCGCACGAACCGTTTCCACGAATCCAGTGAAGCAACAACGATTGTTCGGCACCGCGGGATCGCGTTTATTCGGCCCGTTTTCACGACGACGCAGCGACTGCCATGTCGAATCCACTGGGAGTCGTCAGTCGGTTTTTACGTGCGCGCGGTTCCGTGCCGGCGGCCAGGAAATCCGAATAACTTTCTATTACTGACCTACAGCTCGCGATTTCCCGACCCCCTATCTTCGATTCACTCCCTCTTGACGAACCTTCTTCCCCGTAACGAAACGCGATTACCGTGGCCCGTTAATGAACTGTGAAGGAACGAAAAAAAAAGGCAGAGATCACCTATATCCGTGGTTTAATTAGTTTTTACCTGGTTTCTTGCCCCTCTCTCGTTAGCTATCGTTGCTTCTTGTGTTTCAAAATTTCCTCTGTTACGGAACAGCCATCGCGTATCGTGATCCCTCGCGCACGCCTCGGCTTTATTATTTCCCGATGCTTATAATGGGCTAGATGCAAATAAAATCGGAATCGAGAATGGAAAGAGCATGCATACGCCGCAGCAACAAGCTTAATTTGATATACTCTGATTAACGGGGTAAGTGTGTGTTTCTGAGGAATGCTTTTCTAGCCTACAAAACGTTTATATTTTTCTCGCGTGATCGTAACTTCTACCGATCAATTATAATAAGCAAGGACTCACAGATGTGCATGGAAATGTTAATTACCTCGAGCGAAGTTTTAATGGATTTATGAAGCACGCGAATCTGCGAAGTACAATGCAACAGGAAGGCTAACGGGGCTTAATAAACTTTTATCTAATTTTCAACGCGATAAACCTGTTTCCTGGCCTGCGAGGAGCAGCCGTAGACTATTCATCAGATACTTTGACTCGCTGGCGGCTAATATTGAATGTGATTATTAACTGGCCGTATCTAATAAGAGACGTCATACACGATGATTTTTCTGCAACTTTGCTCAACTGTTTATGGGACCAACCCGAGAATTGGGTTGCTTGATTGGTGCTACTTTTAGACTACAAGGGATAAACCGTCTCAAGGGAAAAAACATCTCCGAAGTGTCCCTTTTACTTATTCGCTTGTAACTCGTAAACTACGAAAGATAAGAGAAAAGAGTTTAAATAAATTTTCAAAACAATTTTTTCAAAAAAAATTTTTTTTTTTTAATTTTTTCTTACCGATATATAAGAAACTAAAAACGATATAAAATTGATCTAAACTTTGTTTCGATACCTGTCATAATTTACTAGTTACAACCGAATAAGTAAAAGAGAAATTTCGAATAAAAAGGGTGATTTCTCCCTTAAAGTCTAATAGTAGCACCAAACAAGTACATCAAAATTCTTCGGTTGGTCGCCAGAAACAATTGGGCAAAGTTAAAGAAAAATCTGGGCGTATCACTTTCGCGAACGCATCCCTCGTAAGCTAAGATCACGATGAATACCAGTGGAGCGGTATGGAAGAATCGTTAATTACACACCGCGTATTAAGATGCAAGTCCCATCCAGATCGTCGATCAGCGACTTTTAAGACTCTCAGGAAACGAGTTATTGCACAAGGGGGCTACCCAGCGAGCCGATCTCAGAACGAGAATCGCCGAGCCCCGCGAGAGTAAACGGAACGCGGATTGCACGTGCACAGCGAAGGCAGGTACGCACGTTCGCGCGACGAGTTGCGGCTAATTGCGTGGAGGGATATATACAGGTGACGCAATCTCGTCTCGCCGTGGATAGGACGAGCGAACTCGTGGGAAATGCATCATCGTGTACACCCACAAAGTCGCATGCGCCGCCGCCGCCGTCGATGATGCGCCGTGGAAATGCCGCAGGAGAATCGCGAAAGTTTATTATTTCGCGGCACGGAGAGTTCAGCGCCGTTATACGGTCGCCTTTTATGCAACACGCTCCATTGTTCCGACTCCGCCGCGCACGGTTGCGCCGAGAAACGCCTAATCGACCACGTTTGTTTCCTCGCTTCATAGGGAAATTGAAACTATTGGACGTCTAAGCTGGACAGTTTTTAATTTTATTTTGTATCTTGAGGTTAGTTTCAGAGATGGAAACTATTCGAGTAGAATTTTACTTTAAATACAGGGAATCCTCGATGAGTGTTTGAAGGCTCCTCGGCACTGAACATTAAATATTTCATAAATTAGTGGCCAAGTGGGGCTGGAATAAATATCATTGGGTTCGGAATTCCAAGCTCTATCAGTGGGCTAAACCTAATTAAAAAGTTAACCTTACAGCTGGGGACCTCTCCTTGTCAAGCCTTTGAACACTCATCGAGGCTTTACTGTACAGTATTACTGTACAAGTCTCCTGAATCCTGAAGCGATATGTAAATCGAGTAAAGATGAAATTTTGATGTGATACTTTTATTTTGTGAGTTGCATAGATAGACTGTGGATTTTTAAAGAAAATAACATTGTATAAAGTGATTCCTGGAAACTAGAGCAAAAGTAGGAATTTCTTACCTGTCTAAAGTATCTTATTGGGTTCAGAATAAAATGTATAAAATCCTAATATTAAATATATTAAATCTAATATATGTTCAAATCCTTGGAATAATCCCCTATATTATTCTGTAATGAGTATTAATCAAAGAGGGTTGTAGAATCATTCGAAGGGCAGATTAAGTTAGTAAAAATCATCCAGAAACTGTACAGAACCAATTACAGAAAGTGAAATCGTCCAGAGACCAAAGACAGTTTCGCAATAAAACGAGAGGAACGAACGAATTACAACGAAACGTCGAGAGATCCTGCTCGAATTCAACGAGACTTTTTCGTACGATGAAAATCACGGGACAAGGTAACGTTCCACTGTGTACAGAATGTATACACCGGTTCCCATAAAATTCCTTACGGTTTCTGCGGCTGAATTGTGGCACACACCAGTTGCATACCTTGCCGCGCGTAACCGAGAAGCGTGATAAATCTCGGCAGGCAGCCGGAGTTATTATTTAATGGATGTTGCACCGTACACCCAAGCATCGTCGATAAAACGGGGTTAATCGACCTCTAGACGATAATTTTCTACGGCAAACAAAACGAAATGAGGCCTTAATCTGTCTGCAAATATTTCTCCAACTTTATAACATTTTCCTTTTCTCTCATTATTTTCTCCTCCATTATTACATTTCCTATGTATTCCAGATAATTGAATCGGTATTACTAATCAGTATCATTGATCATTATACACTGTGCAGCAAAACTATAAAACCACCCTAAAAGTTTCAGTCCTTATTTATTGTGGTTAAATTAAGAACGAACCACTTTTTTCTAAGGAATATAATTTATCCTTTTCTCAAGAACCATTATTTCTCAACACGGATTTCATACATGGCATACTTGGTTCTTTTTTATTTCAACCATAATATATAAGAATTGGAAATTTTAAGGTTGTTTTCAACAAAAAATTCATTGACAGTTTCATTATCAGATTGGACGACACATAGGGACAATGACTTCTGTTGCCCAAATCAACCCACCTGTAAGTAGGGTACGAACAATAGAGAGCTGAAAAGAATCCACTGATGATCCCCAAGAGTGAACCGTTATGCCAGCTCCGTTCGATTATGAACGGTCACCTGGTGAAGAAGGTGACGTCGTTTAACTCACATACCCAATCCGGCCAGATTTCCTGCACGCGTATAATCGTAATCCCTGGCGTGGCCAGCTTAGACGATGCAGACTTCCTGTCGATTGCGTCTAACGGGTCTTCCGGCCCGGTCGAGCGATCATCACGTGTTCGTTGAATGGCTACGCACGCCGTTCCTCTTGCACCTTGCAAACCGTGGGGGCCGTGGATCGAAGAATCCGCGACTGAATCGACGATTAGAGAAGCGACCTAATTACACGTTTCGTAGGAGAATCGCGGTTCTTCGGGGTACCGTTAATGTGATCGACCGCGCTACCAACGTGTTGCAGCTCCTTCTCTTAGCTGTACCAATAATCCACTACTTTTTTTTACTGAAGCATATAGCCTGATAAAAGGGTAAAAAATGGCCTTAACTAAATTGGAGTGGCAAGGGACAATTGTCCATTGTCATATTCGATAGCTTATCAAGAAAAAATAATTTTTACTTGTTTTCAACCCTGTATCTCGACTGGGAGGGTAGTAACTAAGAAAAACCGAATTCTCCATTTTCACACTATTTTCCCTTATTCAGTCGTATATAAAAATAGGGTACTTTTGACTCTACGTCTGTCCACACCCTCTAGCATTTATTTTCATCTGTGAAAGACGAGTCAATTGGTCATTTGTACTTGTTTCGTGTTCTCCGATACCCTAACTCACTTTATCAAGGAACACATTTTGTTCGGTTATCAAAGAAACCTACTTACCCATTGGTACACCTAACAGTTAATTCAAAAGTCTTCATTTTACTGATGAAAACGTTCAACAAATTCTGTAAAACATTCATCCGAGAATTTTACTAATAAACTTTTCCTCTTGTTGCAGGAATATGCTGATAAGAGAATTGGCGACCGTGCTGGTCGCCGTCCTCTTGTGCCATCTTCAGCTAACGGAGTCTCAGGTGAGCTTATTATTATTCTGTCAGGCTGATCGCATCATGAACAGCATTCCCCGGGAACCACCGCTGTTCATCGATCATTTCACGCTGGTTTCACTCTGCGGTTCCGGTCGTACCATTACGATTCTAATGTAATAAACAACAATACAATTCCAAGTGGAATTCACGCGTACTATTCGAAGATTGCGGTGGAAGGGAATTCTAACGGCCTTGTGTACACGATATACCCTCTAACGACGCAACAACTAAAACATTTCAATCCACAAAACCCTGTAAACGGAAACAGTCTTAAAGTGCGTATCTATTTGTTGCGTACCTCGTATCGTATCACCGTTGCATATCATCGTATCGTAACAAGCGGATACGCACCTTTAGGAAATTGAACAAAGCACCGAAAGTTGTAAAAAAAATGTGTTTGTAACAGTATGATTTCTGTGACTTCAATACGATTAAACTTTCATCTACACACTGAACTAACATTCTCTTTCTTATTACATCTCCTGGAGTACCAGTTTGTCATTTTCATCGGGACAATACCTTTAACAAGTCGAATAGGACTTCGATTTCCTGGATCTTAACAGTACGCAGTCTTGTTTACTTTGAAATTTCTCCTAAACTTTGCCGAGCCTTTCTCCGAGACGAACACTTCCTATACACAAAATGTTGCAATTTATAGACACACACACACACACACGAAACATTGTTCGCGCGTCGTCGTTCAGGGCGCACGCGTGTATATTTACCATCGAGACCGCGCTGAAATTCACTTTCACCTCTCGTAAGCCAGAGACCCACGGTTGGCCAGTGGTAGCTCCTTGCGGAGAGACTACATGCCAATTACTTCATGATCCGTGCGCGGTTCAATTTCTCAAGAATTCTAGGCAAGCTCCTTATCTCGGCTGTACGAGAGAATTCTCTTCCTTTTTTCTCTTCTATTCGCGATTTGCAATTACTGTTGCGTGAAGGCTCGCGCTCGCACGCGAACAAGAGACAAGTTGGAATCATAATTTAAAAGAATATTCTTCTTCTCGTCGGGGGAGTTCTGTTTGAGTACATTGTTGTTACACAGTTAGTGGTTACAGATACATTTTTAATAACAGTACAGTAAGGAATGTAAGAATTGCTAACTTAATACTCTTTTACAACTCGTATTCGTTGTAAGTAAATCTGTATTAGGATCTAGAGTCCAGAATTTCTTTGTGCGTTACATAGGTTTCTTAATAAATCTAGGATTGATCGTATTTAAATGTTAGTAATTATGTTACACTCAAGACTCTTTATATTTTAATATGTCTATGGTCTTGAGTCAAGCTTTCAGTCCTTTCAATAAATATATTTAACATACTATGATATAAGGAAGATTCTTTTACTGTCAGGTGAGCTGGAGTAGTCACTCGAAGGTCTCACCGTATTATTTTCACTGGTCACACGAGATTAAGTTAACGCGAGACGTGTAGATTACTTATATAACAACGTGTTTTTAATGTACACTTATGTAATAGTAGTAATGGTGTAATTAAGCTTATAATTAAAGACTACGAGAAGATATCAACTTTATCAACGTGTATAAAGTAAGAATTCTATTACACTTAGTAAGCTTTTACACATCCTAAACAGTGTGATTTGTATCTGGCGAGACGTGGTTCCCAATCCCATTGAGCAAACTCTTTTTAATGAAATTCCTAAAAGGGTTATATTACAACAAAGAGCACTAGTAATTTAAAACAATTAGACTCTTCTGATTGATGCTGTATCACGAGCACAGATTAATCGGCCACGATAACAGAAAAAATACTACACACTAACTCACGAGTTTTATGTTTCTAAAACATTTACTATCACTGAACACAAAACAATCGTATTCGAATTTTTACCAATAAACTATACAATAAAAATACACGATTTCAACATCATTTACTCGTCAACGAAGTGTTGTTCCCACATTTCTAACGCACATGATCTGAAGTTCGTACAATTACATACTTTGAAATATCAGGTTTGTCAGATGGTCCCTTCGTGTCTCGTACTTCCCATTCCATTCGTGGGTAGGATGTCAGTGTATTTTAATGTTAATCTACTTTAAACCCGCTCCCGTAGCGGGACAACCGGCTCTCTTATCGTGTCATAAACATCGAAGAACCAGGTTACTTGTGTTACTGCGTGCGTAAAAATTCGAATCCAAACAGGGTCGGGATTTACCTACACATGGGTGGATAGAATGTGGCAGCTAACGACCGGCACTTTCAGTGTTGGTTTTTATAGCGAAACTAATGAAAACCGAATTTAATAGCGGCACATTCTACAGGCTCTCTGTGAAATCCGAGACAATTTATTCCTTATGTTTCTGAAAAATCATTCTGGAATGTGAAAATACTTCTACAATTACACGAAGAATGTTACGAGTCAGCTATAATTTGGCCACTACCTATACGAGGTCTGTCTGGGATAAGTAACGAGACACTAGCATTGTTAACTTGTCTACAAAACAACATTATCACCTTCAAGATAATTCCCTTGGGAGATGCCACAAACCGTTTTTGTTATAATTCTTTTAATTTTCAAATTTTTCTTCGGATACATGTATGTATATAAAAGTAACTGAAAAAGACAGAAAATTAAAAAACACTAACATGGGGTCCAAGTCCATTTCCCAAGTTTAAGCGACATGCAGATCCAATTTATCAGTTTGGCAGCGCAGGTGGACATTTCGGTGGAGGTGAACCCCATGTTGATGTTTTCTGTCTCTAATTATTTTACTCACGTATATCCAAAAAAAACCTAAAACATCAAGCAAATTATGAAAAGAAATTGCTTTATATATCCATTTTTAGAGCTGCATATGACAGACTTTAAGGCCACTCAAACGCATATAATCATGAAATATTTAATGTTCAATGTCGAGGAGACATCGAGCACTCATCGAGGATTTGCTGTATTTTTCTGGTTACCGCTTAGTTTAGATAAGTAGTCCCAAATTTCTTTCTTCTTTCATTTACTAATCCAGAACGGTATCCAACTGGAGACACCTGTTAACTCTGCTCGCGGATATTTATCGGCATTGGGTGGATTTCAGTGGCCGCGTTGCGGTGCTGCACCCAGCAGGCGTTCGTTGTGACTCGCGCCTCTCTCTCAGGAATGCAGTCACCGTTATGTCACTGATATTCCGGTATACATGTACCCACTGGGGGACACGGATGAAAAGGAGTCGAGAGAACAACCCGTCGCCGGTTTCCACACGTACACGAATCGCGATAGAGTCGGCTGCCCTGTCCGAAGATGGGCGCAAAACCAGTGAGATCCAACGGCAGATTGCTGTGCGCCTCTTCACTTTCTCCATCGTAGGGGAACAACAATACTGCGCGGGCTGTATGTGTGTTTCACTTCAAACGGACCCGCGGATCCGCACCATTTCACGATAGCGCCTCTACGCGCTTTCGTTCGTTTTTTTTTTTCGCCGAACAAGAGAAGATCCACACTTTCTTTCACACCTCTTCCAGCGTCCCCTTCGGTTTACGTAATTTTGTCGCCATAACGACGGTTTCCCGCGGTCCTTCCTGCCTCGATTCATTCCGTTTCCCACGTGATTAACGTGCTGGATTTCGACGTTTCGTCATTGGATAATTGGGCCCCGGGCTAATTGTTCCCGGGTTCGAGAATCGTGGAAATTATGCATCGTGGCTTTAGTAGAGAAATCTGTGCTAGAAACGCGAATCGACATGTGAGATTCGTGACTTCTCGTATGGAACTAAAGTTCGAAACGTGCGTTTCGTGAACTCGCGTAATTATGTCGGGTATTTACGAGTAATTGTGTAGGTACTGTCTACTATGTAGGTGGTATGCATTTTCAAATTTAGGTACTACGTGGACTGTACAACCAACAGACGAAACTGCATTTCATTTTATTTCTTCATGTATTAGTAAATGCAAATATTTTGTCCCTAAATATAGAATTTTCCAATAGGGATGTTGTTTCGCACTGTTCTATACAATGGCAATATATACAATTGTACATGTCACATCTGAAATAATAAACATTCCTGTGAACAAAGTCAAGAATCTTTACCGATTCAATTGATATTTGAAGGTCCATCAGACCAGTACTCATAACAGAATACCATGATTTATCGCAACGTGTTCGAGTCTCTGCAATAAATTATCCGAATGTACGCCGAACGGCCCAAGTTCTTTGAGCTACCACGCTGTAAACCGTTTCCAATGCATTGGTTTTTCTTTTTGTTGCAGATTCCAGCCACGAACGTCTTCACCTGTCCGAACGGTGAGTAACAGCCCAAAAGTTTCTCTGCTTTTCTATAGAGACCTGCGTCCAGGTAAACTGGTCAGATGAACCTTCTGTTGCCTTGAAAAGGTCGCATCTGGTGGTCCTCTCTACCTGGCCAGGTAGACAGTCGAATATGTAGACCGAGGTCATACTTTAAAATGGCCTTTAGCCAGTTTCGCCTTGTGAAAATTTCTGTTCCATCGGGACATGTTCGCTCTTCGACAGTGTTTTAACGCTATGATTTATGCTACGATTACGAATTAAATTTTTAGAATTTCGTGTTATCACAATCGAGGAAAAATCTCAAGGTAAATAATGCCCAGCAAATAAATCACGCAAAGGACAATGAGGATAAGTGTTCGGCCGTTCGTAACGTTGCTCCACTTTTCCTCGTTACAGCCGGTGCAATTAAGTAGGTTGCACGTATCAGTACGAAACTTCTTGACTGTTAACCGTGTCCTGCATTCGACATACATACTTACAAGTTCGATCGACTGCCTCTAGACACGAATTCGAAAATATTCGCGGAAGAAATGTTTCAGCTCGTTTGTCGTTGGACAGACGGAGTTCCAGCATACGAAAACAACTTTATTTTAATCGAGTGCCCTCGGTCGCAGGCCTTGAAAGCGAAATGTTCTCTTTGGCTTTTAATCCTCGAAGGTCTCAGCCGTCGAGCCGCAAAAAAAGTGTAATGATATATTAAACCCGTATAATTTGCCATATCGTTGTATTATTTTTAAAGTCTAGATACATGTCCAGAATTTCCGTGACACTCTGTATAACATTTCTCAAGCGATAGTATATTAATACGTTTTGAATTCTGAGAAGCAATACTACAACACGCGTTCAAAATCTCCCGCTCGGTATTTCACCAGGCATTCAAGTCTCCGATCTCTTCGTTATGCGTTGATATCACCATCCAAAGGCGTTGGTCATGATTATTTAAATTCTGATTTTTATCACTTAATGCTAGAGTATGGAATTTTAGGCAAAATGAAATTTTAGAGAGTAATACCATAAAAGACAAGAGCAAGCAAGAAGAATTTCTTTCTTCTCGTAAGTACCTTATCGAGGCAAAAATAGAATACAAAACTCTTGTTTTGTCCTTGCTGTATTTCACACACTTCCATAGGTTATAAATGCATAAAATCCGCAGTCTACTGACCGCTGTCCTATTGTTATCGTAACATTAGGATTCAAATTTTCCATCATCTGGAACAGAATTCACCCATCCACCAACAATTAACCCTTAAGGACGATCGTGAATAGGTCATTTCTTTTTTCATAATTGTAATTTAACAATTTTCTATTTTTAACGGCAGATACTTAAAATGGAAAAAACATTTTTCGAGTCAAAAAAATTTAAAGGAATAGAAGTTTCTTTAAATACTCCGTCGATGTCCTTGAGGGTTAATAATCCCAAAGTGTGAAGTCATTTGTGCCGAGTGTCTATTAGCGTAAGAAATTCTGGTATTTATTTATCCGTACTGGCATCTTGTACCGTGTACAATCAAAGACCCGACCATCCCCGGTCGTTCCCTTCCCTCTGTGAGTGGTCAAAACCTTTGAGAGATCTGAGAAGAATCGCCGTGGATCGGCTACGCTTACGCAGACGGCCCAAAATTCTCGACCTGCTACACAATAATAGCATACCGATGCCACGGGGGGATCACACAGGTAGGTTGCACGGGTAAATGGGGAAGGAGAGAGGAAGGCCAAGAAACGAGACTGCATTCCTAAACCGTGATTCCTTCTCCTTCTCCTCCATCGCGCCGCCGAGGCGCATCCTCGTCCTGCTGGGGAACGATCCTAAAAATACACCTCGCGAATTCGCCGTCACGGTTATCCACCTTCCTCGAGGAAACTCGAACGTTGTGGTACACATAAGCGTACATTGCAGCTCAAAAGTTTCGGCACACCACTGTTTTGTATTCGATTTGATAGTTTCGCATGAACTGCCTGATTTTATTGATTAATGACTAGACTGCGGAAGTTTATGGAAATTAAGAATTTTAGATTGTAATATAGAAAAATGAAAATTGGGCACACCTTTATTTCCAGCAGTAGGGGTTTCAGTATGTTAATGGTGTTGACCATTATTAAAATCTTTATGCCAATATACTTTGCAAATCTGGACAGGAATGATTCGTTGTATTTCTTATGAATGAAAATTTTTATAATATTATAATATTATTGAAAATATTTATAAATATTAACGACAATCAATTGGTAAGATACCTTGTTTTCTGTTGAAGAATCTCTTGGTGAATTCATTGTATCTTTTGAAACCATGCCTGAATGAAATAAAAACAAAACTAAACGTATATGGCAGTATTCCTGAAGTGGTTAAAGTAAAGGGACGTGTACAGTGAATTTGTGGCAAATTTGACAACTTTATTACGCGGAATGATATTGAAAATTGTAATTTAATCTTCATACAAGAGTTTGCAAGAAAATCATTCACTGATGTGACCATCACTAAAAATGACTTGGCAGATAGGTGGAAATTTCTTCACAGAGTGTAATTACCAAAGTGAGTCTGCAATGTATCAAGGTTCTACTGTACATTTTCTGGCAACTCATTCCGAAACTTTTAAGTGGTACTGTATACATTTCCATACGCACACTGTGCTGGAACGGGATTCCAAAAAGTGGAGCATCCGGAATGTTCACGCGACAGATCATCGTCTTCGTCTTGTCCTTAACAACCTATCGGGTTGTTTTTTGTTCTTTGATTCTCTGTTTTATAAAATGAAAAACAGAACTGATTCCTGGGGAACTTCCATTCTTAGAGACCTTAAGGAACCATAATATTTCTTTCATTTTCTTGTCTTCACTACGTGTGATTTTTTTAATTTCCTTAACTTCAGACTGTTAACTTCTGTAGTGTAAAATGTTGTCGAAAAAAGTAAATGGAAGGACAGAAGCATACCGAAGCATATTCGTCGCTTTCTAAAAATAGCCGTCCACATTTTTCTAACTTCAAACTACTAAAGGACTCAGTCTCCCGATGAGGCGATTAAAAGTCATCACGCACGTTAATATCGCCGCGGAACATTCCCGCGTTGCCTAGTCCCTCGAACATGAAAATGCTAATAGCCGCGAGAGAAACAGCGTACGCGGTACCAACATGGCCGTTTGACCTTTTAAAAGAAAGGAAGGCCGTCGGTGTCTATCGCGGTGAGGCCACCTCAAATTGCATCGAGGAATCATTGGGTAAACGTACGTCGATGTGTTTTATGATTCGTAAAATATACACAAGAAAGAAAAAAATATGAAATTTATTACTCAAATATTAGCCTCGTCGCTATCTTATATAAACGGTTTCAGAAGATGAATAATGACTGATAATTACTAATGATAGATGAATACTATATTATTATAATATTAATATTATTTATCAGTAGTACATGAGTTTGTAGAAAATCATTAACTCAATGAACAAGATGAAAGCTACTGAATACAGAAACGGCGAGACACTCGTCGTTCCGCAAAAAGAATCACGGTTATTCGTGGCACTTTTGATTTCCAAAGCAGTCATCCTCTTGAGGAGACACAGAACAAGTAGGATAGTCGACGATCTCACATGACACCAATCGATTTCTTGGTAGCCAGACTGAAATACCAGTTTCCTAGACATCCGTGTGTCAGATTGACACTATCATCATCATTCCCGTTCTTTCAGAGAGCCTTGCAGACTTCCCAAAAATAAGTGAGAACATTTCGTTCAATGAACTTTGCGTTCGAATTATAAATACTTGAATGCAATGACAGTCAAGTTAAACAGTCGGGAATAATTAATATCAACATTTTGTATCGTTGTAGTTCAACACTAGAACTACCGAACAAAATGATGGATTGCGGATTTCTTATTTCAGGATTACTGAAATTATAATAGTGTTTTAGGAGAAATATATATTGGCTTCTAATTTACTACACATTTTATGTTATATTATATTACGTCAAATTGTACTGTATATTGTGTATGTTACTACAGTATACAATTTAATTTAGTGTACATTCTGGTAGTTCTAGTGTTAATAATGTACGCGTTACATTGGGTTAAGACAACGTTAGATTTCTTGTATGAGTACAGTTCTTCTCTGGTCAGCTGTATTCTTCACAAAGAAGGACCACGGAAAGTTGTCTGGAATGCAAAATTCTGTTTGCACAAGGAATGTGTGTGCTCCTGACTTCTCAATTCGAACGGTCAACAATCCGGGCGCACGCGACGACGTTTCACTCGGTTGACGGATTCTCTTTTACAATGTTACCCGTTTACCCACCGACCTACCTTTGACTCGCGTACACGGTGCTTGGCACTAAAAAACGATCGAGGCCGTTCTTCGTCCGTCACTGTCTGTACAGGTCACCGGTTAACCGCGTTTCCTGCCACCTTTGAAGGCTTCTTTCGTTGCGAATTGATCTGTGACGCCATGTAGCTGGTTTCTCATGGTACGATCGGAGGACCAACCCTACGTTAAACCCATGGTTACTTCGTCTATTGTCTATACGTTTCGTAATTGTTTCGACACGTAGGTTAATAAGTTTCGTATTTTAACCTTTAAACTTTTTTTTAATATCGCTGAAGGAATCTGAACCATTTAAATGTTACTCGTTGATGAACTATTTTTATGGGAATACGTTATCTTTTAACTGTCTAATGTTATCCAGTTAAGTACGTGCACACATAATCGGGACACAATCGAAACTAAATAAGGCGATTCTTTCTTTTGCAGGGTGGGAACTGAGGGGCACACATTGTTACAAATTCTTCAATATCAGGCACTCTTGGGAAAAGGCGGCTGAACTATGCAGAAGGTAAGTGGATCAATCGGCTATAGCTACATAACCCTCGGAAGGCGGACCTTTTTTTAATGTCCGTACAACAGTGATGTCTGGGTTTGTTCGGACCCTTATAATTCCTACTTTTTTAATATATTTTCGTACACAATCGATTGCAAGTCCTGTTTTTTTTATATGACCCAATATTAAGAACTCTTAGCTTAAACTCTATTTCAATTTTTTAATATTTAAAACGATTCAGTCGGTAAGAACTTCTTGATCTCGTCCATCATGCAGAACGAGAGATAAAAGAGAAGCGAGGCAACACGAAGGAAACCTTTGTAACCGTGTTATTACACGTTGGAACGGAGCAAGAGATCGACGAATTGGTATACGATTGCAGGTACGGCAGCGAACTGATGGTGGTGGAGTCGTACAGCGAGAACAACATGTCCGCAAGCATGATCGGCCGGCATTTGGATCGTTATTGGCTGGGACTGGCCTCCCTCGACGATTTACGGACGAACACGCTCGAATCGGCGGCTGGAATGCTTGTCTCCCAATACGCTGGTTTGTAGAATCATGGTTTCGTTCGACTCACTGACCCCAGAAAGGATTCACAATCAAACAACCGTCCCCATGGAGCCTAATTGGCCCTTAAAACGCCGACCCAGAATCTAAAGATTGACATAAAATTCATTGACCCTCCAGATATCGATCCAGAATCTAAAGATTCACAATAGAATTCACTTTGTGATTAGCCTGAAAATGTTCTACGAGCCCTGTATAGACTTTCTGATTCTATATAAGTCTACTTAGCAATTAGAAACTGTTTCGGATGGTGGACACCTTTTTCTATGATTTCAAACTCGTTCGTGCACGTGTGCGTACGCGCCGCGGCCGGTTTCCATCGGGGTCACGGAAACGCGGAACTGCACGGTATCTATACAGCACGAAGACACACTTTTCCCATAACAATGCACAAGATACCTACCGCACAGCTTTTACGTCTGCATCGCAATGAGTATCAATTTACTCGTCTGGCGGTCTACGCGTGTAATTTCGCTAACAGTCTTCGTCACTTTGACTTTTGAGTGATTCGAAACGCATCTATTAATTTCCGTTAATGAATTAGGTTTTCTTAATTTTCAGTTACTAAAAACATATTCAGAAATGGGTTGGTTTCTTTTTTCCCTTTCTATAATCTCATTACCATACCGAGCAGGAGTTATTATTCCGTTAAATAAATAGAACAGCAATGCCTAATGGTTATGGTATTCAGGTTTCTGGGCGTCGAAGCAACCGAATCCGCAATCAGGTGAATGCGTGGATGTCGCCTTGACGGACGACCGACAAACGTGGGAGTTAACCACGTGTGAATCACTGCTTCCGTTTATGTGCCGCGCCAATGCCTGCCCCGCAGGTAAATCATTTCATACGTGACGTAAGTTCAATCCAAAGATTCCCTCGGCTGAATCATAGAGTCTGTGCAGGTTCATTCCACTGTTCGAACGGGAAATGTGTGAACGCTGCGTTCAGGTGCGACAAACAGGACGATTGCGGTGATTTCTCGGACGAAATCGACTGTCCGACCAACTGTCAGTTCTACATGGCGAGCAGCGGCGATGTCGTTGAGAGCCCGAATTATCCCCACAAATATGCACCCCTGAGCAACTGCAAGTGGACCTTGGAGGGTCCCCAAGGCCACAACATCCTTTTACAGGTACACAACAATGAAGCACTTTCACAGATTAAGTACTGTTCACGAAGGGCTAGTGAACGTCCCATAATTCTTTTTAGCCATATTCCATCAAAAACACATTTCATTTTGGATTATTCCATTCGAATGGAATTAGAGGATACACTAATCCATAGAACATAATATTCCGTTTTACACATTTTTGATTCCCTAGAACAGTAGATAGCATACGATGTTCTGTTCTGTTTTTTTTTTACACAACACTTCGTTCAGTTTCAAGAATTCGAAACTGAGAAGAGCTTCGATATTGTCCAAATTCTGGTCGGCGGCAGGACCGAAGAGAAGTCCGTGAATCTCGCTACTCTTTCCGGCAAACAAGAGCTGAGCAACAAATTGTTCGTGTCAGCCTCGAACTTTATGATCATTAAATTCAGTACCGATTCATCAGTGGAAAGAAAAGGTTTCCGCGCGTCTTGGAAGACCGAGCCGCAAAGCTGCGGCGGTGTTCTTCGAGCTACGCCTCAAGGACAGGTGCTCACTTCACCAGGATATCCGCAAAATTATCCAGGAGGTTTGGAATGCCTTTATATACTCCAAGCACAACCAGGTCGTATCATGTCGCTCGAGGTATGTGACTCGAATTTAAAATCGTTTGATTCGATTAAAAATCTGGGTTGGAGGATCTCATTTGTCTCGTTTCGTTCTCCGTAGATCGAAGACCTGGATCTCGAAATGAACCGCGATTACATCCTCATCAGGGACGGTGACTCGCCGATGAGCAGGCCTATCGCTCGATTAACAGGAAAGTCGGAGGATAACCCGACGGTGATCATGTCTACCGGGAATAGTTTATATTTATACTTCAAGACCAGCCTTGGCGATTCGAGACGGGGATTCAGCATTCGGTACACACAGGGATGCAAGGCCACGATCATCGCGAGGAACGGGACGGTTCAGTCGCCGTCTTTCGGACTGAACGACTATCCTAATAATCAGGAGTGTTTATATAGGGTGAAAAATCCCCATGGAGGACCATTGTCTCTAAAATTCGTTAGCTTTAACGTTCACAAGACTGATTTTGTACAGGTAATGCATCTACTTTAGAATTAATGAATCTTTAACTACCTGTCTGGAAAGTTCTAAGTTAATCAAACACATTTGCTTTTTTTTTTGATAGATCTACGATGGTCCAAACACTAATGGACTCAGGCTACACCCTGGAAATGGATTCACATCCAACACTCGACCAAAAATTACACTCACTGCCGAAAGTGGAGAAATGTTGGTTCGATTTACTTCTGATGCACTGCACAGCAGTTCTGGATGGCAAGCAGAGTTTTCAGCAGGTGATTAATAACAGTCAAGTATTTTTCGACCAGTTGACCATGAGATTAGTCTGATACTTACGATTTTTAAACTTTCGCAGACTGCCCTCATCTTCAATCCGGCGAAGGTGCCCTGGCTTCTAGTAGAGACACCGCGTTCGGTACAGCTGTTACCTTTTCCTGTCCTTTGGGCCAGGAATTCGCGACTGGCAAGTCTAAAATCACTACGGAGTGTCTGCCAAGTGGAAATTGGTCTGTGACTTATATACCAAACTGTCAGGAAGTCTACTGTGGTCCTGTACCACAGATAGATAACGGTTTCTCCATTGGATCCTCGAATGTCACCTACAAAGGGTTAGCCACTTATCAGTGTTACGCTGGATTTGCGTTCCCCTCTGGTCGTCCTATAGAAAAGATCTCGTGTATGGCTGATGGAAGATGGGAGAAGAAACCCTCTTGCTTGGGTAGGTTAACGAAAGGATCCCCAGTGTTATCATCAGTGAAATTAATTTCCATTTTTCTTGCAGCCTCTCAGTGTTCCCCACTTCCGGAAGCTCCTCACTCGAACATTACTATTCTAAACGGAGGTGGTCGTAGTTATGGAACGATAGTTCGGTTCGAATGTGAGCCAGGATATGTCAGAAGTGGACATCCCGTAATTCTTTGTATGAGTAATGGAACTTGGTCCGACGAAGTGCCAACGTGTTCCCGTAAGTATCTATGTTATTCCAAGCCTGCTTGCAACAGATTGCAAGACTTGTATCAACAGCCTCCAGTTGCAATTAACAATGCTCTGTGTAGGAGCTAAATGCCCATTGCTGCCCACGATCAAGAACGGTTTCGTGGTCGACCCAACCAGAGACTACTTTTATGGCGATGAAGCCAGAGTTCAATGCAACAGGGGCTACAAGTTGTCTGGATCTAATATCATACAGTGTGGGCCCACTCAGCACTTCGATAACGTTCCTACTTGCGAAGGTAAATTTGAACACTTTGTAATCTTGATATGGATCCTTCATGATTCATTAATCATATTTTTTAGACATAAATGAGTGTGCATCGAGCCAATGCGATCTGGCCTCTACTGAGTGCATAAACAATCCAGGTGCATTTACCTGCAAATGCAAAGCAGGTTTTGCTCCAACTATGGAGTGCAGGCCCATAGGTGATCTTGGGCTCATCAATGGAGGTATTCCTGATGAGTCGATCACTGTCTCAAGTTCGGAGAACGGATACATGAGAACAGTAAGTATAAATATACACTGTTGATTGAATCTAATTTAACGTGTTGCAATATTCGATATTAAGGGTATACGTCTAAACAATGGCGATGGCTGGTGCGGTAACAACATAGAACCAGGTACGAACTGGGTGATGCTCGACATGAAGGCCCCGACGATCATTCGTGGATTCCGAACTCAGGTCGTTGCAAGGGTAGACGGAAATATAGCGTACACGTCAGCAGTTCGAATTCAATATACGGATGACCTGACTGATATCTTCAAGGATTACACGAATCCTGACGGTACACCGGTGGAGTTTAGAATCTTGGAACCTACTCTTTCTGTACTGAACTTACCAGTACCCATTGAGGCTCGGTTCATAAGGTTCAGGATACAGGATTACATCGGTGCACCTTGCATGAAACTAGAAATCATGGGATGCACTCGTCTGGAGTGTACTGACATTAATGAATGCACTGTTAACAACGGCGGTTGCCACCAAAAGTGCATCAACAACCTTGGTAGCTATGCCTGCATGTGTAATACTGGATACGAATTGTACAAAGGCAACGGCACTGCTGGATATTACATCGAGAAGTATGAAACTGGTGAAAGGGACGGGGATTTATACCAGAAGAACAAGACTTGCGTACCTGTTATGTGTCCTGGTCTGTCTGCACCAGAAAATGGAAAGATCTTATCGACTAAAGTAAGTATTTGATGTAATTTATATTAAATAAATTGTGGTGATATTGTGACACTTATTCGGGTTCACTTTATTAGCAACAACATCATTTTGGTGACCTTGTAAGGTTCCAATGCAACTTCGGCTACGTTTTATCTGGTTCTTCAGCTGTCATTTGTACGTCCAGTGGAGCTTGGAATGGTACTACTCCAGAATGTCAATGTGAGTACCCAATGACAATCCAAATAATTAATATTTCATAAGGAATTACTGAGGATCAAAATGTCTTCGCAGATGCAAAGTGCGTGTCACTACCAGACGACAAGAACGAGGGTTTATCAGTGATTCGTAGTGACGAGGCGAGTGTGTTGGTACCGTTCAAGCAGAATGTCACGCTAAAATGTGGCAGTAATGGGCGATATCTTCGAAACACAGCTAGTTCTGGCTTCCGTCAGTGTGTTTACGATCCAAAACCAGGATTACCAGACTACTGGCTCTCGGGATCTCAACCAGCTTGTCCTAGAGCCGACTGTGGGAAACCTCTACCAACTCCTGGAGCTGAATATGGCCAGTACTTGGATACCAAGTACCAATCTTCGTTCTTCTTCGGTTGTCAGGATACATTCAAACTGGCTGGCCAGACCAATCGACACGATAACGTAGTGAGGTGTCAAGCTAACAGTATCTGGGACTTTGGTAATCTTCGCTGCGAAGGTCCAGTTTGCGAGGATCCAGGTAGACCAAGTGATGGTTATCAAGTAGCAAGAAGCTACGAACAAGGATCAGAGGTTCAATTCGGCTGCAGTAGGCCAGGATACATCCTAATTAATCCCAGACCTATCGTCTGTGTCCGAGAACCAGAATGTAAAGTCGTGAAACCTCTTGGTTTAGCTTCTGGTCGTATCCCAGATTCTGCTATTAACGCAACCTCTGAAAGGCCGAATTACGAGGCAAAGAATGTCCGTTTGAATTCCGTGACTGGCTGGTGCGGCAAGCAAGAAGCGTTCACGTACGTCAGCGTCGACCTGGGCCAGGTTTACCGTGTGAAGGCGATCTTAGTGAAAGGTGTGGTGACAAATGACATTGTCGGAAGGCCAACAGAGATTAGGTTCTTCTACAAGCAAGCTGAGGTCGAGAACTACGTGGTCTACTTCCCTAATTTCAACTTGACGATGAGGGATCCTGGAAACTACGGCGAACTGGCAATGATCACACTGCCAAAGTATGTTCAGGCGCGTTTCGTGATCTTGGGAATAGTCAGTTACATGGACAATGCTTGCTTGAAGTTCGAATTAATGGGTTGTGAAGAGCCTGTTACGGAACCGTTGTTAGGTTACGATTACGGATTCTCTCCTTGCGTAGACAACGAGCCTCCAGTATTCCAAAATTGTCCGCAACAACCGATAGTCGTACAAAAGGGAGCTGATGGTGGATTACTTCCTGTGAACTTCACAGAACCGACAGCTATTGACAACAGTGGTAGTATCGCTCGACTCGAAGTCAAACCTCATAGCTTCAGAACACCTTTGAGAGTATTCGAAGACACTGTGGTCAAGTACGTGGCATTCGACTACGACGGAAATGTCGCTATCTGCGAGATCAACATTACTGTACCTGGTTAGTACATAATCTCAATTCTATTAGTTTGCGATATATCGATCTGCTCCCTTTTTTTCTAATGACATAATTATTTTTAGATGTGACTCCACCCAAACTCAGTTGTCCGCAGAGTTACGTAATCGAACTAATTGACAAACAGGAGAGTTATTCGGTTAACTTCAATGAGACTCGAAGACGAATTAATGCCAGTGATGCTTCTGGTCCAGTGAAGATTACGTTCGTGCCGGAAAGAGCAGTGATTCCAATCGGTAGCTTCGAAAATGTAACCGTCTATGCAACAGACTCTAGCGGAAACAGGGCATCTTGTCACTTCCAAGTGTCGGTGCAAGCAACACCCTGTGTAGACTGGGAACTTAAGCCACCAGCTCATGGAGGACTCAAATGCGTGCCTGGCGACAAGGGTCAGCAATGCATAGCAACGTGTAAAAACGGTTTCAGGTTTACCGACGGTGCTCCAGTGAAGACATTCACTTGCGATGTTCAAAAGCATTGGTCTCCTACTGCAGTTGTCCCTGACTGTGTCTCTGAAAGTAAGTTTTCCTATCTCTTAGTTCTTAGTTATTTTTTTCCATTTTTGATTAACAGGTGAAAAATTTACTACTGAGTTAATCTAAATATATCTCATATTTTATAGACACTCAACAAGCCAACTATCATGTGGTGGCTGCAGTAACTTATCGTGCTAACGGTGCAGTATCGAGGTCTTGTCTCCCGCAATACCAGGACCTGATGTCTCAATATTACATGAATCTGAATAACATTCTCACCCAACGATGTTCCGCTGTCAATGTAAATATGAACGTGTCATTTGTAAGATCTGTGCCTTATTTACTCGAAGAAAACGTCTTGAAGGTAAGTACGAGAAAGTAAAACTCGGGAAACAATATCACTATAAATTTTACACTCCATTTGTGCATTTTAGATGGACTTCATTCTGGTCATTGTTCCCGCTATACGTCAACCTCAACTATACGATCTTTGTGGCTCAACGCTGAACCTGATCTTCGATCTTTCTGTTCCTTCCACTAGCGCAGTTATAGAGCCTTTGTTGAATGTCTCTTCTATTGGTAATCAATGTCCACCCCTCAGAGCCTTGAAATCATTTATTACCAGAGGATTCACCTGTAGCATTGGAGAAGTTCTAAACATGGATACTAACGATGTTCCGCGATGTTGTGAGTTAACAACTCTCTGTTCAAAAACTACCGTTCAATATCTTTATTTCAATATTAAATGGAATTTATTGAATTTTAGTACATTGTCCTGCTGGCACATTTGCTGGAGAGAAGCAGAAACAATGTACTTCCTGTCCAAAGGGCTTTTACCAGAACAGCGATCGCCAAGGATCGTGTCTGCGCTGTCCATTTGGCACATACACAAGGGAAGAAGGTTCAAAGAGCATAGATGACTGTATACCAGTTTGTGGATACGGTACATACTCGCCCACTGGTTTGGTACCTTGTCTTGAATGCCCTAGAAACAGCTATACTGGAGAGCCACCAGTTGGTGGTTACAAGGATTGCCAGACTTGTCCAGCTGGAACATTTACGTACCAGCCAGCTGCACCAGGCCGCGATCGATGCAGAACCAAATGCTCTCCAGGCATGTACTCAGACACAGGACTAGCTCCGTGTGCACAATGTCCAAAAGACTTCTTCCAACCCCAACATGGAGCAACAACATGCGCCGAATGTCCAACGAACATGTATACCGATGGGCCAGGTGCAGTTGGTCGCGAAGAATGCAAACCTGTGCAGTGCACCGACAGTGTTTGTCAACATGGTGGTTTGTGTGTACCTATGGGGCACGGGGTTCAGTGTTTATGTCCTGCTGGATTCTCTGGAAGGCGTTGCGAGATCGACATCGATGAATGTGCATCACAACCGTGTTATAATAGCGCGACTTGTATAGATCTGCCACAGGGCTACAGGTGTCAATGTGCCAATGGATACTCCGGAGTCAACTGCCAGGAGGAGAAATCGGATTGTAGCAATGACACTTGCCCAGAGAGGGCTATGTGTAAAGACGAACCTGGTTTCAGTAACTACACATGTTTGTGTAGGTCTGGCTACACTGGAGTAGATTGTGACATCACTGTATGTTTATTTATGTTTAAATGTACACATTTAATACTTTGTTTCTTAATTGCAATCTTTGATTATAGATAAATCCCTGCACTGCAAGCGGTAATCCTTGCAACAACGGCGCTACCTGTGTAGCTTTACAACAAGGTCGCTACAAGTGCGACTGTCTACCAGGTTGGGAAGGTCAGAGCTGCGAAATCAACACCGACGACTGTGCAGAAAAGCCCTGTCTTCTGGGAGCCAATTGTACCGACTTGGTCGCTGACTTTAGCTGTGATTGTCCTCCAGGATTTACTGGCAAACGGTGCCACGAAAAGATTGACTTATGTTCAGGGAACCCTTGCTTGAATGGTATTTGTGTGGACAAGCTTTTCAGCCACGAGTGCATTTGCCATCCAGGATGGACTGGTGGAGCGTGTGAAACGAACATCAATGAGTGTTCCAATAAACCCTGCCGAAACAATGGCCAATGTATCGATCAGATAGATGGATACACTTGTACGTGTGAACCAGGATACACTGGCAAACAATGTCAACACACAATCGATGACTGCTCCTCGGAGCCCTGTCAGAATGGAGGAACTTGTTTAGATCAGTTAGAAGGTTTCGTCTGCAAGTGCAGGCCAGGTTTTGTTGGACTTCAATGTGAAGCGGAATTGGACGAGTGCCTCAGCGATCCCTGCAGTCCAGTTGGAACGGATCGTTGCGTCGATCTTGATAATACCTTCGTATGCCATTGCCGTGAAGGCTATAGCGGTACCGCCTGCGAGATTAACATCGATGATTGTGCTTCTGGCCCTTGTTTGAATGGTGCTACGTGCAGAGACGAGGTTGGCGGCTTCAAGTGCATGTGTCCAGAAGGCTGGACAGGTGTTCACTGCGAGATCGATGTAGGAACGTGTCAGAATCATCCTTGTCAGAATGATGCAGCATGCGTAGACTTGTTCATGGATTACTTCTGCGTGTAAGTATTATTAGTTACTTACGATTCATGTAATAACAAGTATATGCAATGGTGCTTTATTCGCAATTCATTGGGTTACTAGATGCCCATCAGGAACTGACGGAAAGCAATGTGAAACCGCACCAGAACGTTGTATTGGAAATCCTTGCATGCACAATGGACGTTGCCAAGACTTTGGGTCTGGTCTCAACTGCACATGTCCTGATGACTATACTGGAATTGGATGTCAGTACGAATACGACGCTTGCCAGGCTGGTGCTTGTAAAAATGGCGCCACATGTATCGACGACGGTGCTGGATTCACGTGTATTTGTCCGCCAGGATACACAGGTAATAAGACACGAATAATGAGATCGTAGAAGCAGTAAGAGAAATAAATATGAATATTTTTATCATTTCTTAGGCAAGACATGTGAAGATGATATAATTGATTGCAAAGAGAACTCCTGCCCCCCATCAGCGACCTGCATTGATCTCACTGGTAAATTCTTCTGCCAATGTCCATTCAACTTAACTGGAGACGATTGTAGAAAATGTAAGTCCTCATAATGTTTTCCTTACGAACTATGTTGAGACAACGGTCACTAAAAATTTATTATATTTTTATAGCGATCCAAGTGGATTACGACTTGTACTTCAGTGATCCAGCACGCAGTAGCGCTGCTCAAGTAATTCCATTTTTCACTGGTGGAAGAAAGAGCTTGACTGTAGCAATGTGGGTGCAGTACACCCAAAAAGATGAAGCTGGAATATTCTTCACCCTCTATACCGTGAAGTAAGTTCTTCTAAACTATAGTCATTAAACGAGATCCTAATTTATGAATTTCCATTTTAGCTCACCACACGTTCCTTCGAATCGAAGACTAATGATCCAAGCACACAGTAATGGTGTTCAAGTATCTCTTTTCCATGACTTGCAAGATGTCTATTTACCATTCAGAGAATATGCAACCATCAACGATGGCCAATGGCATCACGTTGCCGTAGTCTGGAACGGTGAAAACGGTGGCGAACTAGTCTTGATCACGGAAGGACTTATTGCTAGTAAAACCGAAGGCTACGGAAGTGGTCGATCATTGCCAGCTTAGTAGGTTCACTTTATAAAATAGCAAAATGTAATATTGTTTTGACCAATATCGAAACTACATAAAAAATATCTTCCAGTGCTTGGGCTGTCCTAGGCAAACCACAGAGTGAAAATTCGAAGGGCTACACTGAATCTGGATTCCAGGGTCACTTAACCAAGGTCCAAATCTGGAGTCGTGCCCTTCACGTGACCAACGAAATACAGAAACAAGTACGAGATTGCCGCACCGAACCAGTTTTGTATCAAGGTCTGATATTAACTTGGGCAGGATACGATGAGACTATTGGTGGCGTGGAGAGAGTAGTCCCATCTCATTGTGGACAAAGAGTCTGCCCACCAGGATATGGTGGCAGCAAATGCCAACAATTAGAATCTGACAAGATTCCACCCAAAGTTGAGCACTGTCCAGGTGATCTATGGGTGATTGCAAAGAATGGTTCTTCCATTGTCACCTGGGATGAACCACGCTTTATCGATAATGTTGGCATAGTAAAGGTACAAGAAAAGAATGGTCACAAATCTGGGCAAACATTGATGTGGGGAACATATGATATCAGTTACGTAGCCTATGATCAGGCTGGAAACTCTGCCAGCTGCAACTTTAAGGTTTACGTGTTGTGTAAGTTATCCTTTTACTATTTCGTTTATATTCTAATAGTCCAAATATCACTGTAGATGCCCAATCATGTTGTGTTTCACTTTTCAGCTGATTTCTGTCCTGAATTGGCTGATCCAATTGGAGGCACCCAGCAGTGTAAAGACTGGGGCTCAGGCGGCCAGTTCAAAGTCTGTGAAATATTCTGTAATTCTGGACTCAGGTTCTCCCAGGAAGTGCCTAAGTTCTACACCTGTGGAGCAGAAGGCTTCTGGAGACCCACCAATGACCCATCTCTTCCATTGACCTATCCTGCTTGCACAAGTAACACTATATCCTATTCTCTAGGTTGTCTCGAGTTTACATTTATTCATTGATCTAATTCATTGAAATGTTATTCCAGGCTCCACACCAGCTCAGCGTGTATTCAGGATCAAAATGAACTTCCCAACGTCGGTTCTCTGCAATGAAGCTGGCCAAGGAGTACTTAAGAAAAAAGTTAGAGATGCCGTGAATTCCTTGAATAGAGACTGGAACTTCTGTTCATATTCCTTCGAAGGTGAGTAGGAATATATTACAGAAAATAAGAACTACCTTCGTGACGATCGTAGCTCACATCTCACATTTTTGTAACAGGAACTCGCGAATGTAAGGACCTCAATATCGATGTTCAATGCGACCACCGTGCACGCACGACACGAGAAACGAACGAAGAAGATGGCGGCACCTACATCATTTCCGCCGTAGTACCAGCCGAATCGTAAGTCTCCTCTGTTTTTCTTATTTGCGTACGCTTTTTTTATTAGTAAATTTCATTTCGAGTTCCAACGTGGAATCTCTGAGTTACATATAATTAGCTGCGGTCAAGCTTCGATCAGCTTATATTAGAGCAAATGAACTAGTACTGAGCAATATGTTACTTGTGTTGCATCGTAGAACGAGACAAGCGCGACAAGGCAGTGATACCTACGAGGTGGAGATCTCGTTCCCGGCGATAAAGTAAGGACAGCTAGATTCACGCCACGTGCGAAACGTATCATTGTACATATGTTTTCGTCATACGGGGCTCGGTGTTATCCGACATCATCTCTCATTTTTATAAATCCATTTGTGATCATGAACACACATCATTTTTAGATGCATGAGTGTCGCACGGAGAAAAGTAAACTTGTTACTCTGTTATAACATAGCCATAACAAAACTTACCCCCATCTGTTCCTATATGGCATAAAGATGGAAGAAGTGATCTTCACCAAATAATTACGTTTGTTCCGTCTATTCGAGTCAGATTTCCTGAGATAACAAGACATTTTCTCCGTGTCAGTGTAGTAGGAATAGGTTGACCATGGTCAATTCTAATAAGCTATTGCTTCATCAATGAAAACATGAAAGAATCTTGCCTACGATTAATGTACGACTTTTTGGAAACTGTTAAATCAACTCTAACTGACTGGTATGCACGTTGTTACTAACTGTTCACACACGACCGACTAGCATAAATGGGTCACGATCATACGGGTACTTAACTAGGTACCGACGAACTGATATTAAAATAACAGCATAGGGCGAACTATATAACACCTGATTTGAAACCGAGCTGTTGGGTTCACATGTCATTAAACTCCAAAAGCCTTTTAATTACTAATGGCCACTAATTTGTAATACCAAACAGCTCAGGTTTTTCATTAAAACGGAACATAAAATTTACAATGACATTCAGCATTCGACATGTTATATATTGGAATTCCAGGATATCATAATCATTAAACATTACATACGTAGGTACATAATTAATAGGTGTCGATTACGGTCTTACTCAGGATCCAATGGAAATGCTGCCTGGTTACCTTCGCCTAAAGATAACGGCTGTACATATTTGCGCATACTCTCCTTCATCTATCGCTACCAACAGACGATCTAGTAACTACCAATTCGCTAATAATATCCTATTTTTTATAGCGATCCAATTTTGAATGCTAACTCGAACGAGAGAGCAACTGTTCAGACCTTATTAGAAAGACTGATCCTGGAGGAAGATCAATTCGATGTACACGACATTTTGCCGAATACGATACCCGATCCAGCGTCTCTGGTCCTGGAGTCTGATTACGATTGTCCAGTGGGTCAGGTAGTCATGGCGCCGGATTGTGGTAAGTAATTTTTAAAAACAGATTTTTCTCTGATACACCGTTCAACTGTATGTCATCTATCCCGGATATTTAATGCCGATTTATTCATGATTACAGTGCCGTGCGCTGTTGGGACCTATTATGACGAAGAAACGAAACAGTGCCTGTCCTGTCCAGTTGGTAGCTACCAAAGCGAGTCAGGCCAACTGAAGTGTAGTTCCTGTCCTGTGATAGCCGGACGTCCTAGTGTGACAGTAGGTCCAGGTGCTCGAAGTGCTGCAGACTGTAAAGAACGTTGCCCCGCTGGAAAGTATTACGACGACTTGGCTGGCCTTTGTCGAAGCTGTGGTCACGGTTTCTATCAGCCCAACGAGGGTAGCTTCTCCTGCTTGCTCTGTGGCCTAGGAAAGACTACCAGAACAGCCGAAGCGGTATCCCGCGAAGAATGCAGAGACGAATGTGGATCAGGACAGCAACTAGCCGTGGAAGGCAAGTGCGAGCCCTGTCCACGTGGTAGCTATCGTACACAAGGAGTCCAGGCTGCTTGCCAGTCATGTCCTACCGGCAGGACGACACCTAACATGGGATCAGCGTCGATCGAAGAGTGCTCTCTTCCTGTCTGCGATCCGGGTACCTACCTGAACGGAACCTTGAACGAATGTATGGAATGTAAAAAGGGAATGTACCAATCCGAGCCACAACAGACCTTCTGCATCCCGTGTCCACCGAACACAAGTACCAAGGGAACAGCAGCGGTAAGTATCCTTCTGAGATATTGTGTCTTGCTCCCCTGATTTCTTAAGCTTAACGTCTTACAAAAAAATGCTAATTCGTCACGTACTTGTTGCCATTAGACCAGCAAAGCTGACTGTACCAATCCTTGCGAAACCAGCGACGCAGAAATGCATTGCGACGCAAACGCTTATTGCCTGTTGATACCGGAGACCAGTGACTTTAAGTGCGAGTGCAAGCCAGGGTACAATGGAACCGGCACCGAGTGTACCGACGTATGCATGGGCTATTGTGATAACGAAGGTGTGTGCTTGAAAGACACACGAGGACAACCGTCGTGCAGATGTAGCGGTAGCTTCACTGGAAAACGGTGTACAGAAAAGTCTGAGTTCTTCTATATCACTGGAGGCATCGCTGGTGGTGTTATCCTCATTATTTTCGTTGTCCTCTTGGTATGGATGATCTGTGTCAGGTCAGTATACTTCACCCAGTTTTTATAGTCCAAGTGTTTAGACTCGTTTCTGTATAAACAGCCGTGTAACCTGATGTTCTTGCTTATAGGGCTTCTCGAAAGAAGGAACCTAAGAAAATGCTCACACCAGCGACTGATCAAAACGGCTCGCAAGTTAACTTCTATTACGGCGCGCCCACACCGTACGCGGAGTCCATTGCGCCGTCCCATCATAGTACATACGCCCATTATTACGACGACGAGGAAGATGGTTGGGAGATGCCTAACTTTTATAACGAGACTTACATGAAAGGTAAGCACCAAGAGGCACATCCATAAAACACTGCGCGAAGTTTGACGAGTCTTTGGAGGAGATATTTAACGAGGCATTTTCCTTGGACCTTTTCAGAGAGTCTTCATAACGGTAAAATGAACAGTCTCGCTCGTTCGAATGCCAGTATCTATGGCACGAAAGACGATCTTTACGATAGACTGAAGCGTCACGCGTACCCTGGCAAAAAAGGTTAGTAACTCACAATCAATGAGTAGCTGAAAATACTGTCAGTGAGGCGCGAATTTGAACGATTATATATTTATACATATATATATATATATATGCATATATAATCGTATTAGACCACAGACGTGTAGCGTTCCCAGAATGCAAAAGTAACCTCAATAAAAATTTTGCTGCAGACAAAAGCGACAGTGATAGCGAGGGCCAGTGACGCCAACGAACAACGACGTTCTACTAGCGTAGAGTATAAAATAAATTATCAACGTGTCCCAATGTACCAACAACGGAAAACGTTGCTTCATCGTCGAATCCAATTATTTATTATTCCCGAGACGAAGATTGTACCAGTAGCGTGATCTTCGGAGAGTATCACGACGGTTTTACCAGATGAATCGCGTCGAGCCCACGATATCTCTGGGACTTGTGCTGTACGTGTGTACAATACGGAACCGGTTGCGGATTAATCGACGGTGTAACAATCGAGTCCTGGAACGATGATCCGTACATGGATCATTGTTTCGGCACCCAATCGGTCGATTAATCGCCCATGTGAAATTAGGAAGAGATCACGCTTAGACGTCGCGGTTTAAGATAAAAAGACTATGTACGCGTGAGGTTGTAATTTTTTGTAATTTAATACCGTCTTAGCCGTTAAGGACTTATTTCTATTAATTAACTCCTACGTTTAACGGTGCGAACGTGAGAGAAGTGTGTGCATGTATGTTAATACATTTATCCCATAAGTGAATTTATATTTTGTTACGAATAGATATTTGTATCACACGCTGTAAAAATAATATCCACGTAGGCGCGTGAAGACGCAATATATCTGATATAAAAACAGAGAAAAATATTTTAACATGAAATTTTGAGTTTTAAATTTAGCGTGTAACAAACGTAAAGAGTATTTGCTCGACTGGAGAATGTCGGGAGAAAGTTCAGGTCAAAATCAATTGGCCATCATACCATCCATTTGCCCCACTCCTGCCTGAAAGAGTGGATGTTGTAACCGGATCATGGGGAAGTGATTTTTAAACGGCCAATTAACTTTGATCCAACTGATAGTACGATTTTCGGGGAGAAATCAAAATCAACAAGGATGATCCGAGAACACCGCGAATGTGCATTCGACTAAGCCTACGAAGCTGTTTTTCACTTTGTATTGTAAAAACTTTAACAACGGTTGTTTTCTTTTTTTTATTAATAAAATGTATTTCGATAATATACTTTGTCTAGCGCTGTACTAAACCAGATTTGCAATCCTGTTTTCGTTTCGTATCAATTAGATTCTTTAATACAGGTATTTTCTGATCTAGTCTTATTGGGATAACTCTGTACATCTTATCTTCGAACTGAATGTCATTCTGAATTTCATTATTCATATTCGGTGGTAAACACTTCTTTTTGTTTTGTATATCTTCGAAAAATTGATGCAAGTGGAAGCTGGGGTCAAAATTGTCTTCATGTTGCTCCAAATCAGGGTAAATGGATCCATTTTCTTCAGTCTCTATTTCAGATTCGTCCGAGTTATCAAAAGAATCCGAATCTTCAGAATTACTATCGTCTACTATGAAACGAGATTCGTTAACAAAAAAATGTGAGTAACACAAAACTAATATGTGTATGATACCTTCTGTACATTCCTTAGTCATTATTTCCAGCAGTAACTAAAAAAGATTCAGTTATACATTATACCCTATCTTTTTTTTGCAATTGTAATAACCATTATGTACCTCGATACGGTCTGTCAGGTCCATAGAATCGTTTTTATCCATCGGAGCCTATTGTGTTGAATTATATTCTATAGCTGATTACTTAACGGCCATTTTTAATCGTTGTTTTTTCTTAATTGAAATTGCAGGCATGATGATTTTGTTAACAGTTTCAAACGTGACATTTTGATTTATATTAATAATTCCAAACGGTGATCGACATTTTGACAAATGTTGACTGTTTAGTACATTCATTTGTTGTTCTGATTATCGATGCATGCTTCATCTGTTCATTCAAAATTTTCACAGAGAAATGCAATGAATCAATAAATTATTCGGTTCAAATCGGTTATAAAAAACAAAACGCTAAAAATGATGCTTATCCGTTGAAAATTTATAATCAATTATGCCATTTTTATGTAGAACAAGCAAATGAACAGTTGCTCAACTAAATGTAAGCAAATTGAAACCGGTATATTATCGTATAAAACAACCGTCAGCTCCATCTAGACAAGAAATAACATACGTATCTCCGCGAAATCGATGCGTATCTTTAATAAAAATTTCCTTCAACATTCTCAAAGAATAATATGTCAGATTCTTCAATAATCGCTCTACTGTCACGTAATCCTTTGTTACGTCCGTAACGAATTGCTACGACCATCTCCTGTTCCCGGGGATAAACTATTAAACTATTAGAGTGGTTGACAAAACCCAGAAATTGTCCCCGAGTGTTAGCCAGGCGTTTCCACACTGTGCATGCTTGGGCCACCCAGGGTTACCGTAATAAATTAAGTACGGACCGAGACGTACCACTCGGGGTGCGGAAATCTTCGAGGACTTGTCTTTCGGAAATTTCTGAACATCGGGTCCACGTTGGAGAATCACGATGTCCTTGCAACAATCAATTCAGCAATACAACACATAATTCCCATCTACAAATCCATTAAGCGCAGAAATCTTTAGTGACTTTTAACGTTTCTCGGGTTCAAGCTTGAAACGTCTGTTCCTGCAAAATCAACAGCAACGAATCATACGAATTAGGCCCGTAAAGTGGACCGGAAACCGTCGAAAAAAAAGAAAACCCGATTATCGACTGCGAATGTATCATCGGCGGGCCGGTGTCGCGCGTGTGACGTGAGGACGGAATTTTCCCGACGCAGCTACGGATAGTCTGCAGCCATTGGTCGACGGTGAGGTCATGCGACTCCGATTGGCTGGCGGTGACGCACACCACAAAGCATACTAGTGGAAGTGGAACCGGCTTAGCTCGTGATGAGCATGTCCCGTGACGTGGGTGTTTAATCCGGCACCGTCGACAGTTCCAGATCGTATTCCGCGTAGAAGGATCGTAGAGTCACGTCAGTGCGGTCGGATTTCGGTGCGTTACTTAACGAAACATTACTAGTCGTGTGGGAATATAAACTTTAGACGCCCTAACGTGAATCGATTAGTTCGACCATACGAATTGAACTCGCGTTCCAAGTGGAAACTACAAAACCACGGATTGTTTCAAGGAGGGTGAGTAACAAAGGATTCCGCGCTCGCATGTGCGTCGATCCCCTCGTGTGTGCTTTTTTTGCTTGTAACGTTGTACGACACGTGGCTATAACTCGATTATATAATCGGTGAATTTAATTCCGTCGTCGCACGGTCGCGGGAACTGCTTTGGAAAATTACCACTGCGCCACGGATCGATCAAACGCCCGCGCTAATGTTCCCTGGCTATATATGTATTTTCGTATCCTGTAAATATAGGATTCCAGAATCTTCCGAATATGTACCCGGTGTTGATCTTGACCCCTCACGTCACCCATTTTGCGGTGCGTTTGCTACGCAAATTCCGACGTTTGGCGAACGAAAGCACCGCGGGACCGGTTCCGCTGCGAAAATTCCCTCGCCGATAGAATTCGCGTTACGTAATCGAGGCGCCAGATAGTAACGTAAAGTTAACGTTTTTCAAGCGTGCTACTGGTCGATAAGAGGCGTGTTGATAGAAGAGGAAAATAACGGCTCGATAAAAACGTGGCTATTGCGTGTACGAAATATCGATCGTGGCTATACATATACGCGTCCCGCCCCCGGGTACGTTTGGATACGTTCACCAAATAACAACGTCATTGTTCTATCCGTGCTCCGAATATGTTACCACCAACCGCATAGAATTTTCCGATTAACAATGCATGACAGATTCAATCCACGAATTTACTAGCAATTATTATAAAATGGGGTGTATATGCATGCGTCGTACAAAAATATTTGCTACATATATCTACATATTCGTGCGCTTTAGAATTAAGTTGTATCATTAAGAATTATTATAGACAGAAACCACATCTGAAGTTCATTTAACATTACTACTAATTGCAAACGATTATTTGATTTTTGTTTCAGATAAAATTTTTTAGAGGCTGTTTTTAAAATGGTACATTTGTAGAAACGTGTAACTACCCACGTTTCTGTGTCGTGATCTTGCCTTTCGATGAACATATATATATATTATTTTTTACCGTAAATTCAATTTTTCCGCTGTACACGATAAGACTTAACGTACTTAAGAATATTGGTGTAATCTCTCATTCACGATGTGTTATCTTTTCCGAAAAAACATTTTAACTGTTATCATGATAAATTACCATCCTGTTACTTTAATATCACGTCGGATCGAATAGAGTTACTGATATTTCGTATCCGTAATATCAGCGAAAGTAAACAAATTGGAAACTAACGATAATTGTTAATACCGCCTTGAGTAACCTTTGTTGCTAATGGAATGTGTAAAATGCTATGGAAGGGGGGTAGGGCTAGGGGGGGATATATAATGCGCCGTATTTTCATACTTTGTTATTTTTTCTTGTAGATATCCAAAATCCCTCCTATTAACAAACGCTCGACGGCCAGCAACATTTCATTTGCGACGGGAGGCGTGTATAACGTGTGTATCTTCTTTCGATACACCATAAACTAAGTGCATTGTAACAATCACGAAAATATTCTAAGATGAAGAAATTTCAGGAATCGAAGCCATGCAATCGTCAGCTGCATCTGTCATCTGTTTCTCGTGGCGTGAGATTGCAGCCACTGGAGGAAGAATCTTCAAAACTGGACACAGTTCCTTTATTGAGTCCGACCATGGAGTCAGAGTTATTAAAAGAGCCATGGGTATTTCCACAGTCCAAGGTGAATCAAATAAAAGAAGAGGAGAAGGCAGCATCCTCCATCTGGGAGGAAAACTTTCAGGATCTAAGCGATTGGTGCATGGACAAGTTCCAGGGTCATTGCGATTTTCATATCGGTGAATCGCCTATTTTTAGGGTATCAGGTAAGTACGCGAAATGACATTCCAATTTTTGGAAATAATCGTGGTCGAAATTGTTTCTATCACTTTCCGATTTGATTTTTCCAGGTACAAAATACGAGGGTAATAGTGCTTTGTCTTCAGCAGAGAAGGGGGTACTGCAAGAGTTAATGAGTGTAGCGGATAAGGAGAGGTGGAACGTAAAAATGAATAGTGCTGGGACAACCGAATATTCACACACCAATTACAGCTTGCAATGTACATCGAAAATAAGTAGCAGAAGCCCGAGAGAAGATAGTACCGTTCTATCGAACACATCCAACACATCCAACACGCGGTTAAAACTATCAGACGGAGAAACGTCCAGCACAAGTACAAGTACATGGAACAAGCAGAACACTACGGACGTTGGTATACCACTTCAGTCCAGATATAAAATAGAGAGCATAGATTTGGATGATTGTCTGACTTCTTTCGATTCCACTAATAATCAACGCGAAACTTGGGACGTTTTACGCACAGTTGAAACTACTGGGTCGGATACATTTGACTTGCTGTCATACCTTTGTGATGTGAGTTGATACATGATAAGCGAATGACGCATATAAAGCACAAACGAGATGCAAGGTAGACCTAATGTAGCACCATGAAATTCACAAGGGGAACTTTGTTGAACACTTTGGAACGACACTAGGGGCAAATTGTAGTAAATATCTAGTGTTACAAAACCGTAATAGGATTTGATTCAGAAATCCGTATGCGTCTGGTAGTTTCGGTTACATAAAGCGTATAACCAAGAAGGAATCGTGGGTACACAGGTAGAGTACTCGGCTACAATGCTGCGTGTTCCGGGTTCAAATCTGCATGCCACCACTTTTTTCCTTTTTTTTTTTTGTCACTAATAAAACTTTACATTGCAAATAATGTTTCTTTGCAATATCAAGTTTACTAATATCACTAGCACGACGAATGAATGTGTAATGACAACCAAACACACAAGACGTTTTGAAGCCTTACGTTCAAGGAGCAGATATTCGACCAGGTATGTACTTACGATACTATTCTTGCAGTCAGATATGGCCGTGACTAACTTTTGCAGCAAATCTATTCGACAATTACAGGCATCGATACTCCTGTACTGAAAGAGCCAAACAAAAAAATTGTTTTGCAGCACATATACACAAAATCACTCGTAAACCCAGCGAATAGCATGTGTTACTGTGCACGTATTTGTTAAAAATGCCTTTGTGATCTTGAAATTACTGCGAGATAAAACAAAAATTATTACAAGGATTTTATTAAAGTAAAAAAAAATTATGGCGACATATACGTATTTAGACCCGGGACCCACAGCGTTCTAGCCGAGTACTCTACTGCTGTACCCACGTTTCTTTCTTGGTGATACGGCTTATGTAACCGAACTACTAGACGCATATCATTAGGGTAGGACCATTCTAACAAACCCTGTTAGAGTTTCGTAACACGACATGTGTACTATTAACAACCTTCGCCTAGTCTCATTCCACAAGCAATTTATGTCTTCTCCTTGTCAGCAAAACAAGATTACAGGTCCGTCAACGATAAAAATAATTGAAATACCACATAATAATTATACATGGACCTTAAGCTTTCTTCTACTCATTTCAGTAGTCAGGTTGTATGTAGTTCTCAATATCATTGCTTATTATCACAAGAAACATAACAGTATTATACACTTCAAATTAGAAAGAGTTCTCATCAGAGAGCAAGCTACCTTGCAACCCATCTGTGTGAAAAGCATCTCTTACTTAACCTTTAGAGGATGGAAAGCCTATTTTTTGGCTCCAGAGGGATCCTTTATTTTTCGTGGTATAACACAATAACAAATATGTAAAAGTTCCAACTCAAAAATATAAAAAGTCATAAAAAAACCCTACCCGTCCTCTAAAGGTTAACATTGTTTTAGATTAATCTACCATAGGCTGTCCATATGTTACAGGATGAAATGCGTTCACCAGAAGGCAGTATTTCAACAGATTCGTCAGTCGTGTCGAAACCATGGTCACCCGCTAAGTCTATAGTTAGTCCGCAATCTTGCGGGAAGGTGAAGTCAGAAGAAACTAAATCACCGCCCATCGAGGAATACATGCAAAGTCGAGCAGCATCAACTGTAACTTCATCTGCTATAGAAAAACCCATAGCATGTTCACGAAAATCGGAGAGGATCAGAACAGCGGCGAACAAAGTGGATAAGGCCTATAATAGGATAATGAGGCGCGAGAAACAGGCAAGAAAACGTTTCATTGAAACCGATTTGGAGGATCGAACATTCGCTTTACATTACCGTGAGTCCCGAGAAAAGAACAACGAAGCTTCGAGGAAGTCGCGTATGAACAAAAAGGCGAAAGAATCGGAGATTACTGTGAAAGCGGTCGAATTGGAACGAGACAATAGGATATTGAAAATGAAAGTCGAGGAACTTGAGAAACTCGTGACATCGATGCGCAGTGCGTTACTAAGATCTGCTTTGAAGAAAGAGTTTTAATCGTTTCTTCAGATCGTTTTAATTGTTGTTCGTTGTTCGTCACACATGTCGCGTGAATAACTTCGTTTTACGTCGCTTTTCGTTTTATTCTCTTTTGTTTTAAGTGTTAACGTTTTCTGATGCGAAACAGAAGAGCCAATATTTCCGAAGCATTAGTTCTTGATATTTTGAGGAGTATCACAATTAATGCCAGAATTATTTACTTAACGTTATGCGTTACTTATTCATTTGTATCATTTATATAAAAAGAAATTCTTAAACATTTCTTTATCGTGTGTAGAGAATAATTCTCACTGGCGAGGAGTATTTCCTAAAATGTTATGTAAATTATTGCACAATTTTTAAGTTTGTCAAAGACATATTGTTTATGATAATTTATAATATTATGCTGGAACATTTTCTGCTCTATGTTATTAACTAACACATTGTACTAAAGATATACAAAGGCAAAAATTAATGACGGGTAATGTTAAAAATGTATTTTGTGAGGAGTATCGAAAGAGAAGAAATTACAAATATTTTTTACTGGCGTGGGCAGAATAGTGGTATGATGTACAATAATCTTCAAATAAAGAGCTTGCTTTGAAATTTACCACACAATAGAAAAAATTATTTTTGTAGTATATTCGTATCATGAATACTACTTTAATCACCAATATAGTATATTTGAAACAAACACATTTATCTAAATGTAATAATTCCTACTAAAATATTTTTGTTTTTAAACAAATTTTAATCTCAACATGATGTTTTGATACACGTTCTGAATAGAAAATAGTTACAGAACAGAACATAGTAGTTATAGATTGAAGAAATGCCTCGGAAAGTCAAATTCAGTTTAGTATTATATAAAAATAGTAATGTGTGCATGTGCAAATCTTTTTGCACTTAGCTCATTATGAGTATTGATAAGTATGGATAATAGATTTTAAACATCCATCGCCTTCACAATACTATGGCAACAACTTTACTTTTGCTTGAGATTTTATTTCTTTAGATGTATCAATATTTTTATACTTTACTTGCTTCTTACACTTAAACTATGAAAAGCATATTTTTTGTGTACATTATATATTGATAGTCTATCAAATATATACTATAAATTCTATAAATGTAATGAAATTATTAATAAATGTAATAATATCTTTTAGAAACTAAAATTGGAAATAATTTTTACACCCCACAATGTGAAACAGTAAAGAGCTGCATTAATTGCTGCGAAATTTCATTATGTACTTTTGAAACTTTTAAAAATTCCCGCCATTGGAAAATCGATCTTGCTAACCACGTTGGGGTCAATAGCAATAAAGATGCAACAATCACATATAACCATAATTCAATTGACAGAAAGTAATAAAATAGGAATTGCACTTACCATTACGCGTAAAGGATATGAAAGGAAGTAATCTCGGAATGATAGATCATCAGGAGAAAGGAAGACATTCTTCACATTCGCTCGTCAAGTAAGAGCAAAGCACAAACACTCACACACTCAGCTCTATATACATTCCTTAATACAACAATAACTCCCCACGATTATTAAAATGTATTTTTAACTTCGAATTCATTCGAAAAACAATCCAATAATGATTCAAAATGAAATTATATAAAACGGGAGAAACGCCGGTAAGGCAACAGTCTCCTGCCGCGAACATTTTAGTCTATTACAAATCAAAGTCATATTTTTATACTACTATTATCATCCAAACTACTTACAAATACTCAGACACCATTTATACGACTACTTTCCTCTTAAAACTTTGGAAATGCACACGTAAAACCACCACGGGATCGCGACTTCAAACACACCGAAGCCATCAAAGCGCGGCAAACCAAACTGATGCGCGCGCAGCCCCGTTTCACGGAAGCCAGCACAGTACGCTGGTAACAGGTGGTCCACGCTGATTGGTCGAGGAACGGGAATAGGACAGGTCCGCTTGGGCAGCACGTGCGGCCGGTCGCACATTTACTCGGAGGACGTGAACGTGCGTGTGTCGTTCCTTCTAGTCTCGACGGAAGTCCACTTTACCGATCGAAGGTTATCCTGCAAGCTACCGTCGTGAGCTTACGCCGAGTTCAGTTTTGCGAGCGCGAGACCTTCCCTATTGGTAGTCCGATACGTTCGTAGATGTACGGGTGTTGGCTATCGATCCCGCTGTCCCGATTTCCCGCACGTTCATTGGCGCCTCGGTTGCTAACAGTGCGTCGTATGGTACAGTGCGGGCTCCGTTCGATCAGTGCTGTGGCCTTACTATTACGCTCAAGATATTTGTGCAATTTTTTCGGTTCTCTCGGGGGTGATTGTCTCTCCCGCAAACTCGACCGAAACATTGCACCGTAAACTTTCCTCCTTGGTAAGCATCGTCCTGAACTTTCATTCCTTTTCACTGTTTTCTTCTTTATAACTCGACGCCCACGGAGAGGCATAGCACACTGCAATCGTGTGCACGTGCACGCGCTTGCATGTAACAACTCGGTCACATTAAGCCGGTGCTCCGTTCCATCTGGTGCGTTTCGATTGCATGTGATGGATTTATTATCGCGCGGAGGATTAATCCTCTTCGTGATCGATGTAAAAAAACAACCTGCACGGATAACCAGTTGACAGTTTTCAGTGGAATTTTATTATATCGAACGGCATACGGGCGCACGACCACTTGTCGCGTCTCGTGGAAGCTCATAACTGTTAATCGTGTTTTCACTTAAGAATTTAGTATCTTTTGTAAATATTCTTAGGATTCTGATATTTTTCGAATATGTATGTTGATGTGATCGGTAAGCTCCGAGAATTTCGTGGTATTATTGTAGCTGGAACGAACAAACTTTCCGCGTTGAGTCATGCTATATCGTGTAGGCTTTTAACGCAAATGTGAAACCGGCGTTGATGATGATACCGGCTGCGTTATGTGGAAACCAAATGCGGGTAGGGAAACGTACTGCATCCATGCGGTGTTTCGTATTTAAGGGCGGTTCAGGCGACCGGAATCGGGACAGATAAACACTCGCCGATAGTGAGGAATATTTAAATTATCTTCGGACGCAAGCTGTTCAGTTTTTCGAATGGTTTTTATTACAGCAACAACTAAGGCCTCTGGTAGTTTGATGTAAGATAAATATTAGAGTAACTATACTTACATCAAGGACTTGGATAAATACAGCGGACTATTTTAGTTTACCAAATTTCCGGCTAAGTTTAGGATAGATTATTTAACTTTTCGAGGCGTAAAACAAACACTTCGAAGTTAATACCAAAAGCAGAAATTTAAACATAACTACAGTTCACTCTGTTTGAAATACAAGACACGTGGTACGGACTGATTTACGACTAGAAACGAATGTAAATAAAATTCCTTTTAATAAAATACTAAATGAATTTTAGTAAGCAACGACATTTCTCAAGGAGGAGTCTACAAGATCACTAAGAACTTTCATTGTAGATGGCAGTTTCGTTTCCGAAAATAACAAAGGGAATTAGAGCTCTACCAGAAACATTTAACTTAGCCATAAAAATACCTGGAGTTTTATACTTGAAAATGGGCGATATATTTAGGATCAAAGTAGTATGCAGAAATAAAATTTTATTACCTTTCGGGACAGGTCAACACTCCAAGAAAATATATGCTCGTGAAATATACCTGGGGAACAAGATACTGCCAACTTGCAGAATAGGGCACTTCCGGAGCATGAAAAATAGGTCCGAAGTTACTCCAAAAAAAAATTGTACGATTCCGTTCTATCTTGTCCACTGGGTACAGTAATGTTTGCAAGAAGCAACAGTCTGTAGGGCTCGTAACAGCGTAACGCCTAATATTTGCACGCTCCGTTTGCGCAATTCCGACGAATTATCAGCAGCTGCGGGTGTAAAACGGTGTGTGTCTGTTTTTCTGTCCTGAAAGTACGGTGTGTCCAAATGTCGTGTCGATTCGAATTGTTGCACGGTCGAATTGTTCGCCGCTGTCGCTTTCATGCAAATGATAATAGCGTGGCCGACCTTTCGCTCTGGTAAAAGATTCCGTTGGATCGTCGGTATCGATCGAAATCGGTATCTCAAGGAAAATCGGGTGCAGAGAAACGCCGCGAAATATCATTCGGCCAAAATCATGTGCGAAAATGTCTGTTCGAAAAGTCGGTATTAGCTTATTATAGATAGCCAGTTAACGTGTAGCAAAGCCTGGAGATAAAGTGGAATGATATTTTCGAAACTAATCTGCTCGACGTAGAAGGTAAATACATACATTGCGATTACACGAAAGAAACCGAAACGATTCGGTGTAGTCTTAAATTATATTTATGACTCGAAACAAATGCGACAGGCCTTCTAATCAGGAGCGATTACTTTCTCGACCCAGGCATAGAATCATTTTGCTAATGACTCCGGCGATGCCTCAGCGGTTTCGGTGAATTACGAGAAAATTATGACGGGATATAGACGGGCTTTCTAAATTGTGCGAACGTTAAACGGACATTCGCGAGTTAAAAACATATTTCGCGAAGACGCGCTATGGTAGTGGAATCGGCGCTGAACGTCTATCGCGAAACTGCCGATATCTCGTCAGTTAGATTGCGTCCGTAAAAAATTCGGTCCTATGAGCTAATATCCGTCCTTGAGGCAGTGTTTACATGCGATCGGGCAGACATCGAACGATATTGAATCGACGTTCGATTAAACGAAATTAATACGGTCCGGAGAACCATTAATTACGAGCAGACATGATCTGTTTGAATGTTAGGGTATATAACGAAGATCGTTAGGTATATTATCAACAATCGAATCATGAAAGAGTTCAATTATCCAAAAGTAAAAATGAAATTGAGTTCTCAACCTAAGATTCCTTAATTTAAATAATCGAAGTCAAAGTTTGAAAGTAGCGCTTGCTAATCTAAAGGCTCCTTTCTACAAGGTGTTTCGTGACTGATGTATAAAATCATTTCACTAGTTTTCGTTAATTCGATTTTTTTCTCGATTGGTATATTCAAGACACCCGGTACGTGGTCGATGGTGTACTTAACCCATAGAGACAGGTCCATTGATCTCGTTAGAGTGCGCGGTGGCCTGCAATGCAGTCGTGCATCGTGTTGCAATCTGGAACAACAGAAGGTATTAAATGCCAAACCGTGCGCGCTCATAAACGCGACGCAATTTACATTCTTACTATTTGTCAGTCAGTTGTACTGTCGCCAGAACACATAGGTTATATACCTGCATATGTCCCGTCGATTTTCCTCGCACGTTCGACAAGGAACGTAGGTGTACATCGTTCTGCGCTCTTCCCCAAAACTTTGCGTACTCTGCCACCGAAAAGACGTATCTTCGAGTTTAATTATCGCGTCGGTTTGCTTAAGATTTGCACGTTTGAATACGGAAACTGTTCCACGAAACACCCTCGAGGCGTTGAATATATTCGGAGAAATTCCCGACAATCTCGAGCGACAAACAAACGTCGTAAAAATCAGTTTTTCAATTTGACAGAGTGTGACAGTGAGAGAAATTTCGTTCTGAATAAGGTTGAGATTGTCGGAGAAAGAACTTGTGGCTATAGGACGCAATGAAATATTACAGATAGAAAAGCAAAATGGAGGCGTGATACGTATGGAGTAAAAAGTTATAGACCCCTTTTCTCGACTAATTGAAGAATTACATTTCCAGGCTGTATCCGTCATCGACAATGGATACTCGAAGAGAGATCGCGTCCGAGCTCCTTTGATCATCTCCATCCTCCATGGGCAGATATTACAATACAACGTCTGGCAGCAGAACCACTAGGAACGATCGAGGAAACTTAGGATCATGGAATTCTACGACGTGGGAACCAGCGACCTTAGGGAGTTGTGGGAGTCTTACCTCTCCGAATCGGTGAGTACAGTCTCCTGATTTCTCCGAATAATGTGTGTTTCGTTGTGCGAAATCTCGACATACTCTATCCATATCCAACAATACTCACACCTGTTGTAACTGTAAGATGTGTATCTATAGTCTACGTTAAATATTTCGTTAGTTACTGAAATGAATTTTAGTAAGGGAGTGGACCTACCTTTCAATTCGAAGTCAAACGTTAGGTATAAAACAGTATCGAAAAGATTTATCAAGAAATTATACGGTAACGAATACCATTGTTTGTGAAATACAAAATTATAATTTTAGATAAAAAATATGTTGAACGTATAATATTAATGACGTTTTGAAAAATAAATTTAGTCACATCCTTGAAAAAGAGGCCAGATAGAGACGTATTAGAACATGATCATTCTGCGAATGATTAACGATTTTTACATGTCTGTGTGTACTTTCCTTAAGTAAGATTTACTCGTGTCAGAAAGGATGAAACGATCCAAAAAGCTGATAACATCTGACTTTGTTCAGCAAGCAAAAGATTTACCGATACACGTGTCATCAACTCTCGTTCCTTAAACTGCCTGGTCACTTGATAATAATTCTCGATGCTTAAAAGCAACAGCTACTGAACTATTCGAGAAAAGAGTTTTACTCTCGATAGCAATACATCCAAGTCGAGACGTAGCATTACTTGTAGGACATTTTCCACTTTTGAATCAACCTGTGCACAATGGGTGTTCTGTTTCTCTCACGTATTCTATTCTTGCCGAGAAAGTGCTAGTTTTCGATCACGAACGAAAGGAAACTAGGCGCAGGAAAAATGTCTCGGAGACGAACCAGCGTTTGCGTTTCCTGCTCGTAGGAAGAACAGAAGGCGATTGTCAAAGCTTGTTAACGTGTAATTAGTTATGTCTTATGAAGATGAACGCTCTCGCGATTGGTATCGTGTATTTCTGTTCTAGGACTATGGAAATCTTATTTTCATGTTTACAGAGATATTGGAGTGAACATTTTTTTACCTTTTTTAATGATTGAGATTTGTATTTTTTACTTATGTAATTATAAAAAGTAGAAGAGAATATTTTGGAATTACAGCCATTAAATTCCAGTTATCTTCTGTTTCTAATATTGACAAATGAATTCTGAGTCAACAAATTATGTTAGTGAACTTCGAATCCTCTACAAGTAATCATTCAGAATTCTTTTTGCGCACAAATCGTATAAGACACGGATGTTTTCGGGGTATAATTTAAAACAGTAGGTATGTTTTAAAGATGCAACTCTGATGTTTCGTTGTTTCATGAAATAATTTTAGTATAGAAAAGATTCGTGGTACAACAGCACCGAAATCGTATGTTTTAAATTAGAACGACAGGATGCGTTACCATTTCAACTTGAGTCTGTCCAGGTCTGGCAATCACTGTATGTAAATGTTATCTCTGATAAAACTCGCGGGGACGCGCGCGTATTGAATTTCGTAATACTCTTAATTAAATAACACCACTATTCCCTGAGTAGAAACGTTGACGTAATATTATAGCGCCCGATGTGTCTGCTATAATTATTTCACCGAGCAAGTTTACGCGAGTGTGTTCGCCGCAGAGGATCTCTGTTCCATTACGGTTCAGTTACGCTTCACAAACATAATTGAAAGGAATATTCTTGAAGTAGTAATACCGTTCGACGGGAGATGTTCAGCGTTTGAGGGTAATTCTGCACGTATATTAATATCAGCTTATTCACCTGTATAAATAAATTGTCGTCTACCAGAAGCCTATATGTATACCTGCGCCTGTAACGGCACGGTACAAACATTGTAGCATTGGGTTTATACATTCGTTTACAATCTTCTTAAGCCATTGTTTAATATTCAAAAATTGAGTAAGTAGTTGGAACTCGTTTATCAATTAATGTTTGATAGCGCGTTGGATATTGGATTATATCAACATACGTATAATAGAAGTTACTATTCAATTTCTAATTAATTTCTCATTTTTGACATTGCCTGTTTTAGTAAAAAATTAACAAGATATGGTTTTTGCTAGACATGTACAAAAATTCAAGAACTTTTAATATCTTGAAAGTACCATTTGACACTCATATAACGCCAGTGTCCAGTCATCGACCACTAACAGTTGGCACCTAAATGACGCCACTGTGGCGTCATCGGTTGTCATAGTTTTATTACACTACGTATACTTCAGAAACAGAAAATTTAGGACACGATAGTACTGATTAGTGATTAACTGGATGGAATACAAAAGTAGTGTTCCTTAAAAAGTTCGTCGCCTAACTGGGGTGAATTTGTCACAGTAATTCCAAGTAATTAAAACTGTATGATTTTTGTTGTTACAATACAAACTTACAATATTATTTGTGATCCCTGCATATAAATTATGGAAGCCTGCTTTTAAATTTTGTAATAATATTTAAATAGAGATGGCGACAATGATCCGTTTAATGCCCAGAATTCAATGTTTGCCCGTTACGTTCATCCTGCTTAACTGTCCCGTCATTTATACAGTATTCACGGCTCTATTAGTCACTCGTTACGTTTCGCGTACACCCCTTAAGTCGATAATCGCATTACCGTTTACTAATTAGTATTTGACGACCCCATCAGAATTACTCTTATTGAATATTCATCGCATAATTTCCTTACACCCTGACCTGTCGTCCCGTTTTACGGTGATTCTTAATGACGCTGTTTTTTCGAGTACGAAATTGCAACACGCTCGAGCAGTTATCTCTATTCATAGCGTCAATGAAGCCGCTCCGATTAAGTCACATTATACTTAGATCGTAATCTTGGGAACGGATTGCAGCATTGGTGAAACTAGAAAGAATACACCAATTAATGAAGTGGATCATAAATTCCATTTTTACTTCATCATATATACTGATACAACATCTTTCGATTTATTAAGAAATGCATTTTATTCATATACAAAACTTCTATTTACTTCTACGCTTCCTTTTTTTTTTTTAAAAAAAAAGGTTAGCACACATAGAATTTGTACAAGTATTACGTGAAACTGACGATAATTATACATTTGTCACCACATATGCATTAACGGTACATAAATTTCCGGAAAACTGAGACAATACGCACGCAACCTGTGAAAAATTTACTACAACAATATAGATACGGGAACCTGTCGTTCTACTGCATCTGTTACTCGCTGTTTATATAACTTATCTCGATAGTAAAAATTATATAATATAATCTCAATCGGTCCTAAATACACCCCGCAATATTCCACTATATTCCCCTAGAATGTTGACTTTTATTTCAAGTAAAAGAATCAAGAAACCCTCGTACGGAAATAATCAAAAAGGAGGCTGAACTCTATCCCTCTCCTAGCTCCTCCATTATTCGTAATAACCACTTGATCATCTACGCCGCGTAATCTTCTGCAGACATCAGCAATGGCGTGCGTGCGTGTGTGTATGCCAGCGACCGAATATGTATCAGAAACAAAAGGATCCGCTCCTTGTCAAAAGCTGTTGCGCAACACGAAGGAAACAATTGCACATGAAACTGTGACAATGAATGGGTTGGCTTGCCCTTGTCGAACACGAGGAAGACAACGTTGGAAATGGTCCTGATCCGTGGTTTACACGTGACGAACCACGACGACGAATTGCGTTATTCGAACCCCAACAGTGGCCAGAAATCTGTTCGTGATAGAAACTGAAAGGCAGTCCAACGCCGCGCCTCCGCGGATCTAGCCGGATGGATCGTCATATTTAGGGGAGGGGGTCAATCCCCTTTTACTCGATTACGTCACCACACGGGACTGTATTGTAGATACACGAATACCGACTTTCCAGCGAGAGAGGAGTCGTTAAACTTAACGGTGGTTCCCGGTGGAAAGAAGAGAACTCGTACGGAGGATCGTTGTTCTGTGAAACACACGACGGACCCTACGGAACAGGTCTAGGGAACTGTAATGGCGGCCACCAGAATTTGTTCACGATTAGAGTACAGGTCACATCGCGGTCTTTTTGTGATACTCGCACGGTGCTTCTTTCGGGGATACATTTCGATTGTTTCTTCTTCGTGATGTAGGTCCTAATTGTTTGAATGGTATTTCAATTGTCGTCATGGTAGGTCTGTATGGAATGGTGTAGTAGGAATTTTTATTAGGTGTATGTAGTACGTAGCCAGCAGAATTGGACAGATTTTTATTTAAATTATAGATAGTGAAAAACGATAGTATCTATGAGCGACATCCTAAATCAAGTAATTGTTTGCCATGTGTCTACACAATCAAAAATAAATATTATTTTAGTTTTATTTTTTTTAGCATGGTCCTTAATGGGTCAACAATTTCTTTAAATATTTATTACTGAAAATTCAATGTATAATGGCGTGTACTAATTTTTCTAGAAATTCTTTGAAACCATCGATTGCTGGATTATGATCTGTACAATACTCTTGGAAACTTGATTCTAAATCCATCCAAAATCCATGATTTGAATGATTAGATTTCAATTTTATTACATACTTTGCACATTCCACGCTTGCAGAAAATACAAGGAATGAAAATTCTGTCGTTTCAACCTTTCGGAAAACCCCTCAATAGTCGGGAATTAATAGTAATCTTTGTATTGTGTATAGTGTTGCGTGAAGGAAAGTCACTTTTTAATTCACAGTTCGTTGTTCAACAATAATATTGTTTATACTATAACTAATACTTAAGAACGCGTTTCCATACAATGTAATGTTCAGTACCTCCGAAGTGGCCTAATCCAATTAGCGTAAAGTATTTGAGGAATTGAATTCAATGGAAAACGTCAACTTACGTAGTCCATTTTAGTCGGTACGGTCTACTTTTGGTCTCAATTAGTTGAGTATAGTCCCTAAGAAATAACTGAGTGCATATATGTAAACCGGACGTTACTACATAAAGAAGGTTTGTGGAGGTCTTCCAAGTACTCCAGAATAAAAGCAAGTACCAAGAAACGAAGAATTGAGAACAAAATGTGTATCCATCTGTCAATCTACTGTGAGATAA